AATTATTGCTGATCAATTATTATTAATTACTGATTGTCGTTGGTCAATTATTACATTGAATTAAAATAATTGCTGATTACGGGTAATTAGCACTAATTGCTGATTGAATTAAATTAATCGTTGATTGTCTTCTTCATGCTCTGTTACTATATGTATTAGTAGCCACCCCTTGCCCGATCCTTCCTTACAGAGGATGAAGAGGACAATTAACGATTAATTTAATTCAATCAGCAATCAGTGCTAATTACCCGTAATCAGCAATTATTTTAATTCAATGTAATAATTGACCAACAACAATCAGTAATTAATAATAATTGATCAGCAATAATTTCATAATAAATACGATATTATTGACATTTTGAATCAATGTAATAATTAATCAGTGACAATTAGTAATTAATAATAATTAATTAGCAATAATTTCATAATAAATATGACATTATGGACATTACTGATATTATTCGACATTCTGAATTCAGACTGGTCTTTTTCTCACAGTAACTTTGAATCCACATATCCCGACGAACAGGAATTGATATCACCGAACTCAGACTTGGCCCAATACGGACTCAAGCTTGTGCACGCAATCATGCTAGCACTAGCCGTTCTCGGCTCAAGGAAAAGATTAGCAAATTCAAAGTTTGCAGCAGCATTTTTGCAATATCCACCGCTGTTACTAGTATTTATAAGGCTTATGTCTTCGAGGATCTCAACAATGGAAAAGATTATCCCTGCATCATTGGATATTTTCCTCCAATATTTAAAAAAGGTGGATCCTTTTCTTGAACAATATTTAAAAAAGAATTGGATCCTTTTCTAAAATATTGATATAAAATATTAAAGAGGTGCATCCTTTTCTAAAATATTTAAAAGGTGGATCCTTTTTTAATGCAAATTAAGACTAGAAAAAGGGAGGAAACTTAGCTTTTGTTCTTTGCTTGATTTGCTTTCTTTTTTGTTAGACCCGATCTCGGCCACGGTAAGGGTCTCAGGGTCTCGGTTTCCATCTCGGTCTCCATTTTGATCTCGGTCATGATCTCGACAATGGTGGTGGTGGTCACAATTTCGATCTCAGCACCAGTCTCAATTTATATCTTGACTTCTGCTTGCTAAAGCAACCCCGATCTTGAAAGGTTGATACATTTCATATTTAAATTTTGCACCCATCGTATTAGGATTTGGATGTGGCGGCGCCTGCTGTGCTTTCACCACTATTGGGGTGGGAATATAATTTTTTCGTTCCCCACAGACGGCGCCAATGTTCTGTCTGAAAGACAGAGATGTCCAACCGGTGGTTGGTATATTTTATGTAGGATCTAGGTGCCCTCTCTCAAGTATCTACGAATGAGATACCCTTGAGGGTAGGCTGATCACTGTGCACAATAATAATCGATATGATCAAGGCGTGGGGTGTGTGCACAGTGACAAGCTAAGAGGGAGGGTTTAGAGAGTGTTCGTACCTTATTGGTTTAACCCTGTATTTATAGATGGGTTAAGATACCCTTGAGGGTAGGCTGATCACTGTGCACAATAATAATCGATATGATCAAGGCGTGGGGTGTGTGCACAGTGACAAGCTAAGAGAGAGAGTTTAGAGAGTGTCCGTACCTTATTGGTTTAACCCTGTATTTATAGATGGGTTACCTGAAGGAGTGTAATTCTGGGCCTCTTAGGAATATTGGGGGCCCAAGTCCAACTGCTTAGCTGTCTGGATAAGATTGTCATCAATAGGAGATTCCCTTCCTTTTGTGCTGTCCTTTATTGGTCCTTCTAGAATACGGGCCTTTGTCAGGTTCATAACACCAAAAATAAAATAAAATAATATGGCTATATTATGTGGGAAGATCTATTCCCTAAATTTAAACATTAATTTTAAAGCAATCAAGCATTTGGACAAAGGAAAGCATTATCTTCCCTTAATTAACGATAATATTCCGACGAAGGAAAAAATTATCTTCCCTTGATTCTTGTTTATATATCATTATTTGTAAAAATTATTGAGTCTACAATTTTTTTATGTTGCAATTAGTGCTGTATATTTTATTAAAGAAAATGGGGTCTGGCAATATTAACATAGATGGGAGGAGAATATAAAGATGAGTTTTTTTACCGTACTATCTTTACTTTTAATTCATTTGGGAGAATGTGAGGAGGATACATATAAAAAGCAAATACAAGCCTTACATACAAAATGTATATGTATAGGAGAAAAACTTATTTTCTATAATATAAAAAATAATGAACCTTTAAATTAATGGCCAACAAATGGGGTTTTTTGATCCTTTTATCCCTCATTAATTAATTAATAACTATTTTGTCTCTTACTCAGAATTATATCTACCAATCTGCCCCTCTTTAATCGATTAACTTGAATATTTAATCGATTAAATGATCAAAATAAGCCAAAATGGTTGACTCGAGATTTAATCAATTAAATCTCCTTCTTTAATCGATTAAATCTCCCTCTTTAATCGATTAACTTGAATATTTAATCGATTAAAACTTATATTTAATCGATTAAATATCCCAAATGAACGTGAAAGCATTGATTGAATGAAACAAACAAGGAAAACTTGCTACGTTCAAAGGGGATGATTAAGGTTTAGTTTACTATAATGATTAAGTTTTGGCTGCCCCAAGTGTTCGTTTGAAATCTGTCTGTCTGTGAAGAAATACGAAATGGAAGTATTTCACCCCGGCCTGAACTGAAGTTTGAATATGTTAATAAGGGCAGTGAGTACATGCATGGTGGTCATCCTCAACCAGTATATTGTGATTTAGGGACTTCAGAAGGTACTATTGAGATATATACTGATTGAAATGCTAACAGTAATGGAAGTATTAGATGTGCTCCAAAAGAAATGAGGGGTTGTAGTGACTGTGTATTGGAGCTGAAGTCCATACTTCCAAATGGATGAATTTCTAAGTTAGAAGCCAAAACTCGTGACATGCTGAATTTTTTTTGCAAAATTGAGCACAAAACTCTTCAGAAAGAAGCAATATTAAGCGGCAAATCTATGATAAGAGCTGCTTTTAGATATGGCACGAATGAAAATAACATATATTGTCCAGTGTCAAGTGACTGGTCAGAAGAAGGGCTATTTCTCTTCCAACAACATTGGATTAAAGGTGAACTAATCATAGTTTGAGATGTTCTTAAACTAGGGACAAGTTTGAGTTGGGAGCCAAAGGTCACTTGGCGAGCATTATGTGAAAATTTGGATTCAAGGAACAACTCAAATGCGTTAATGAACCAAGATGGTTCTCACTACGCAGTGAACCAACGAGTTTTCCTTGTTTGTCTCATTCAATCAATGCTTTCACGCTCATTTGAAATATTTAATCAATTAAATATAAGTTTTACTCGATAAAATATCTCTCTTTAATCGATTAAGAGGGATATTTAATCGATTAAATTTCGAGTCAACCATTTTTGCCTGTTTTGACCATTTAATCGATTAAATATTCATATTCAAGTTAATCGATTAAAGAGGGGCAGATTGGTGGATATTTTTGGGTAAGTGACAAAATAATTATTAATTAATTAATGAAAGGCAAAAGGGACAAAGAACCCAACAAACTGTTATATTTTTTTTACCATTTTTGCATTATTTTATAGTGGGCTCCACTTTCTTTTTTCAGTCAATTTTTTCGATAATATAATAAATGCATCATTAAATGATAGAAAAAATATTTTATGTAAATATTAAATAATAAATAATAATTAAATAAAAAACATGTATTGAAAGTTATATGCGAAATTCCATATTAAATTTTGACTTTAAATTGATTTGCGATTTTATTATTATTTAAGTACAAGTAATTGCAGTAGTAAAAAAAGAAGAAGCTTTTTACATAGCTGTTATCATAATCAAGTTTTATTAATAATTTTAAAATATATATTTAGGATTTAACTTTTATATAAATTCTTTCTTATATTTTCATTTCTACTTTTAAGAGACACTGTAAATGTAATGCACACCCCCCCCCCCCCCCCCAAAAAAAAAGAGAGACACTGTAATAATTTGTTTTCGTTTAAAAATGAAGGAAAAGTTTGTACCAAAAAAAAAAAAAAATGAAGGAAAAGAACTCACGGATAAATATCCTACAAAAAGTGTGTCAAACAATCATTAGGTTTAAACATTTCTCTTGTTTTTCAAATATTAGGTTCTCTAATAAAAATAAAGAAAATTATGCACCCAAAAAATATTTAAATGGATCTACACGCCTTATAATGCCACAAGCACATATAAATTGGATCTAGAAGGCTTCTAAGCCACATGCACGTAACCAATGATCACAACTACACGATTTCGTCCATATATTGGTTAAATTATTAATTTAAAATTACTTTAATTAACTATGTATCATTTCAAGGCAATACATTACTCCAAGATTATATATATATATATATATATATATATATATATATATATATATATATATATATATATATATAAAAGAGAAGTGTTTTAGACAAACATCTCTTCATTGTTCGGATTTTATTAGTAGAATAAATATTGGCCTCTCTAAAATTCTCCGATAAATTATATCGGGTAGTTTTCATTGAATCTAAAAAATAAAAAATAATTTTGATACGGGATTACTTTGGCCGTCCATGTATATTTTAAAGTCACTTATATCAGTTGTTAAATATTTTTTACTTATTGATAATATTTTACAATTTTGTAAATGTTTATAATAACATTATGGGTTCATTGTTTCTAAAGTTATTTTAAATAATTTTGTCTAATATTCACCGAAATGACGTCATTTTGGGGTGAAAATCATGATGTGTATGTAACTTTAATTTATTTAGGGATATAATAGTATTTATCATTCTAATTTTTTGATTTTTCAATCTCAAAATAGCATCATTTCAGTGAACATTAGACAAAATTATTTAAAATAATATTAATTTTTTTTTCCTAACATTAATTAATAACCGACAAATATTTAATAATTTACTTTGATACATATTCTTCTTCTTTTTTTGGTAAATAAATTTTTTTTGACCATTTCTCGATTTGTGCATGTCATCTTTGCGCAAAGGTCATGCTAATCTTCTCTGTATCGTTCCAATTTTATCGGATGTCCCCGAAGGGACATTTTGATACATATTCTTTAAGATACTATAACAAATCTTTTCTATACACTAAGAATTTTATACTATCATTTTTTCAAGTGTTGTTTCGTTATTTAATAACTTTAATTTTGTTAATATGTAGATAGATATAAAACTAAGACTTTGATACTTCTATAATGAATGTAGATAAGTTATTTATATTCATTCTCAAAACGATATCATTTTGGATTAAAAAAATTATAAAATTATAATGAAAAAACTATTATAATCCTGAAATAAATTATAATTATAAAAATACCTTGATTTTCGCTTTTAAACTACGTTATTTTGGGCTCAATGTAAATAAATTATCCACATTGATTGTAGAAAAAACCCTAAAACTAATTAAATAACACGATAAAAAATCACTTTATAATAGTGCGTAACTTTTTTATGCTAAATATATATCAAAATTAAATTAAAATAATTAATAGAAAATAACAATATAACTCATTTTATATTGATAAAATCCTTTGCTCCTACACATTGAAAAAATGGGACATATTTAATAATTCCAAACAAACAACTACGATTGAGAAAGAACTGATCGTCCACATCTCGAGACAAACCAAAACATTTGACCCATTATTCAAAGTGACCCGTCAAGTTATCACATTTGGCACCAAAAAAAGGTTGAGCTATCAAGTTATCAAAAAATTTGATACCAGACGCAATTATATGAAATTTTTTTTGTGAATAAATATAAAAATATATCACATGCTCATATAAAATGCTGACAATTAGAGGAAGCAAAATGGATTCGGCTCGGAGGGCCGGCTCATCCAGCTCGCTAACAATTTTTTTTTATCTATTCTTATTTTTATTGTCTAACTATAGAAAACATAGATAGATAGTAATCTAGACGCAACTATAAGAATATTTTTTGTGTGGATAAATATAAAAATATATTACATGCTGATATAAAATCCTGATAATTAGAGGTGGCAAAATTGGCTCGGCTCGGAGGGCCAGCCCACCCAGCTAGCCAACAGGTTTTATTTTATCTATTCTTATGTTTATTGTCTAACTCTAAAAAACATAGGTAGATAGTAATCTACACGCAACTATAAGAAATTTTTTGTGTGGATAAATATAAAAACCTATTATATACTGGTATAAAATGCTAACAGATATATGTGGCAAAATAGGCTCGGCCCAACGGCCGGCCCTCCCAGCCCTCCAAATAGGCGAGTTAACCTATCTTTGTATGGCTAAGATCATTGGATTTACTACAGTATATATTTCAGAAACAAGCATGTAAATAATTTTTTTTTCTCGCACAGTCATTTTGAAAAATATCGTGAGATAACTGATTTATACATGCCAATGATATTGCTCTCCCTTTGATAGTCATCCATGTAAACTCAATATGTAGTTAATATGCATTTATGTGTACTGTGTGGATTTACAAATATCACATTGTTGATTGCAGTTTGTAGTTATACGGCTTGACTGCACATTTATGCATGGTATATACATGCTTATTTATTTGACACTTTTATTTATAAATTGTTTATCATTTATTTTATCTAGGAGGAAGGATGAAAAGTGCATCGCATAATGGATTTTATCACTTTTGCAAGTGCAAATTGGACCATCTTCATTATTACCTTGATGTCAAGCATAACTTTTAAATTTTCCTTTTTCATGTATTGCGTGATTATCTGAATTTGATTGGCAATTGTCAGTAGTTTTGATTTGGAACAGGTTGTTATGAATTAACCCCTTCAACCTTGACTTTGTGTTCACACGTAAGCCAACTTGAAATGTTTCTTGAAAAATAGTTTATCGTTGCCTCTTTATGCTCACACTTAAGCAGAATGAGTTTTATCCCTTTTGCAAGTGTAGGTGGAGGTTAGTAATCAGCACTTAAATTTGTGTAAATAAATGTTTAACAGTGTCTCATTATTTTTGGTACGTTACATGATACAATTACATGTTTTGTCCTACACAATTTTATTTAATATTTTTATTTAAAATTTGCATTAACTTATTACGTGAATGTTGTAGCATTTTCAAGTTAAAAAATGGCACAAAATAGCAAGACAATTTTTATTTTTTTTTCAGACATTTCTCAAGTAATAGATTTGCTTTTTTATTTTTTGTTCCTTCATGTTTATACCTCCACCATTGTATCATTCAGAGCTTGATAGCAAGATGAAGATGCTGATTTACCGGTGCGATGATTAACCAACGATGGCGACAACAATTTCGTTCTTTTTTCTCAAGGCATCGCACGGGTAATTTACTAGTTGAAAAAAAGTGAAATATTTAATAATTCCAACCCAACAACTACGGTTGAGAAAGAACTAATCGTCCACATCTCGAGACAAACCAAAACATTGGACCCATTATTCAAAGTGACATTTTTTAAATAGTTAAGAAAAATTATAAAAAATAAAAAATAAAAATTGTCTAGTTAATGAATATAATAAATATATCAATTAAAGAGTATTCAGTACTTTATTAAATATCTTAATTATTTAAAAAAGATAATTTTTATTATTTAATATATTAACACACTATTTATAGGGATGATTCTTTTGATTCCAGAGTAACACTTTTAAGTCTTACTCCTCATCTTAGCCGTTGATGGATGATAAGTGTCCAAGACACTATGTTTTTATGGTTAAAAAGAGTTCAAATAATTACTAAAATAGTTAAAAAATATAGTGTTAAAACAATAAACTAGTAAAACAGAATGAATTGCCAACAAATAGATAAGATTCTAAATATTTGTTGTTGTTTCAGGTTGTTTAGACTAGAATAACAAAGTACCAATATGATAAGGACGAGGCAACAGTGAATCCGCGGAGCATAAAAAAATCAAAAAATAAATAAATAATAAATGAAAAAAATGTAACGCTCGCTCCACTGCTCGATGAAACGAGCAAGTGAGCAAGCAAAATATTGAAGCTCGCCATACTCCTTGCTCAAGCGAGTGAGTAGGCGACAAGCAAAAAAATTGCTCGCTGAGCAGCTCGCTTCAGCGAGCGGGTCCAAAAATCAGAAGTCCAAAATTTCACCTTTAAATACAACGTGAAGGAAGTCGTGAAAATCATTCTGGAACGCGAAGGAAAAGTCAGAGACCGAGAAGAAGCGAACGAATGAGCGGAAGGGAACACTGGATCGTTGTAGAGGAGAACGAAGGAGCGGAAGGGAACACTGGATCGTTGTAGAGGAGAACGAAGGAAGCACTTCTGCATCATTGATCATCACTTTTAGAAAGGTTTTATCATGAACTCAATTTCTTTTACTGTTTATTTTAATTCTGCCTTTATTGTGCATAGCTAAATTATTGTTAGTTGTTAGGAAGATACAGAACCAATGGGTTCTTAGTTGATGTTTGTTTATTTCTTATGAATTATATTCTTGCTTTTGAATTATGCAATCAATCTGATATTTATGATTAGTTTTATTTATGACTTGATTACTCGTAGATAAACATATGAGTCATATATGACAATAGGGATGTTGGTATATGATTCTGATTGGTTGATTGCTGGAATTTGCATGATCTAGGGATAGACTTGTGAATTTTATAACTGTGAGTTCTTGCGTTAATGCTTATTTTATGAAAAAGTACTAAGGTATTAGGCTTTGGATTAGAATAAATGATTAGATTACCAAGGGATTGTGATTTAGTCAATAATAGAAAGAGCTACTAATAATTCGATATTGAATGTAATCCTAAGAATAGGCAAACTCATTAAGAAACCATTGGGAAAATTGAATCCTAGCTACGCCTTTTTATTGAAAACTCAATTCAATTTTTAGCTTTAATTAATTCTGAATTTAATTTCTAAAATATAAAAAAAAACCAAAAATAGTTTACAAATTCTGTTTTTAAATTAATCACAATATTCTCAAGAAAACCTTTAATGATCGATCCAACTTTAGTTAAATAAATAAATTATTGCTTGGTCATCAGTCCTCGTGGGATCGACAACTTTCTTATCACTTTATTACTTGTACGACCGGTGCACTTGCCGAGTTCGTCAACAAGTTTTTGGTATAAGACTAGGCAATATATTAATGGACGGAAATCAACGGTTGTTATTTGTAATGTAATTAATAATTAATTAATTAATATGACTTCCAAAACTATAACCGTTGAATGGACGGAAATCAAGGGCTGAGATAAGGAGTAAGACTTATAAGTTTTACTCTGGAGTCAAATGATCTCTCTCCTATATATATATATATATATATATATTATCCAAGTCAATTTAATCCAATTTGGGAACTTGTGGTTAAGTAAAATAAATTTCTTATCATTTGAATGGATGATTATTAATGTATACCACATTTTTTTGGGGTCAAAATACCACATATTTTTTTATTTTGCTGGAAGACTAAAAGCTCAGAAAACAAAACAAACAACTATAAAGAAAGGTGCTGCAGCTCTAAAGCAGCACTCTCAGCTAGAAAATTAGACCCAAAAGCATTCTAAGAATAAATAATATTAAAGGGGGACAATGAAAGACAAACAATTATGAGAAGCAGCACCAAAGCCAATTTTTGCTAGTAAATCAGCACAATGGTTGTTCTCACGAGGCAGATAAACCAATTGGAGCGAATACAACCTCTAAATTAAATTTTTAATGCGACACACCAAAGAAGATAAGCCACCAGCCTCTGTTTCACCATAAATACATAATAAAGTTTATTTGGAATCACAAGCAGTAACCAGATTATAGCATTTAAGCTTCCAAGCTAGATAGAACCCCATAATTCTGCTTCTAAAACTAAGTTGTATCCAATATTGTAAGCAAATCTAGATAACCAATTATTATTGGAGTAACAAATAAAACCACCACAAGAACTTTTAGAACTAGAAACACAAGTTGCTCCATCTACAAATAAGAAGGCAGACTTTTGTTGAGAAAAAAGACATGTTACCTTGTTCAGAGCAGGGTCAAGTAAAATCAGCATTATACAGATAACTACTGGTAGTTTTCATGCTTTGTAAGAAGTGAAGA